TGAAGACTAAAGCGGAGTGTCGCGCTCTGTATACGATTTTAGCGCCTTACAAGTGCGGACACTTTTTAGCGCGGACCCGACGTCCATATAATTGTAAGTCAATGCATGTAAAGGAATATGAAACAGCTAAAACGTTGAATTTAAATTGTAATGTCATCGCAGTACTGTCTAATTTTGCTTGCTTCGCTGTCAGTCGAACAAACGAAGACTAGAGCGTGAATGACGCTCTGTATACGATTTTACACCCTATGAGTTCGGACACTTTTTAGCGCGGACCCGACGTCCATATAATTGTAAGTCAATGACCTTACCTCGAAATTTTACAAGAAAACCGCTGTATTTCAATAGGTGCTTTACAAATACCAATGAATGTTTTCATATCAACTGAACTAAATAGATCACGTTTAAACGACATACGTTTTTCAAATGGCTTTAAATTCATTTGAATAAAAAAAAATTCTGAAGTAAGGCCCCTGCCGCTCGACCCGCGCTCGACTATATTAACCGGTTCGTATGGAAAAAAATAATAATTCGATACTACTACCGACTCTTAAGTGTCGATGGTACAACTTACGTTGTTGCCAAATGGTCTTATCCGGATGCCGCTGCAGCAGGTCTCTGAGCTGCCTATTGATATCGTCGTTGCTGGCGTAATGCAGCGGGAACCGTTGCGCGGGAAAGGCGCTGCGCGGGGCCTCGGCGCCCAGCGTCACGGGCGTGGGGGTCAAGGGCGTGCCTGGCCCGACAGGGATCTCGCTGCCGTCCGGCGCGCGCATTCGCTGGAGCGCTGCTTGCAACGCGCCATTACATTGTTAGTATACGTGGCGACGCAATATACAACACTATAAATCGATAGTGCTGTCGTTGTCGGGTCCTTTTGCGTCCTCGTAGGAATAACAAAATTCGAGTTCTTAGGTTTTCGTGATTGTTACACATAGCTAAGGAAACTATTTTGATCGACTTTAAAACTCATTTTTTCTATAGGTTGTCAATTCGACTGATTTTTTTTTGTATGTTAGTTACGCGATTGCGGCATTAAAAAAACGGATTTTGATGATTATTTTTTTGTTCGAAAGAGGGTACCTCAGTAATGGAGCCATTTAAATTTGAAGAAAATATTCCACCTCCAAGAGTGGCAAACTAGGGGATGGATCCGGTTTCGCGCATTTTCCGGTAAAAGATTTCAATAACACTTGGCAAATAGATGTAATTCCACGAGCTTTTGAGGTCGTTTTTTTTTATAAAAAAGTTATTTATTTTGGATTTAAATCGCTTACATTTGTTATATCAAACCATCGAGTATATAACCATAAATAGAGATGAAATAAGAGCCATACGTTTCTGGTGACTCATCAGGGATACATCACTTATAAATATGAATTCTCGTTTGCACTTAAATATCGACAGCGCCAACAACTGACCTGTGTGTACGTCTCCGTATATACCAAAAATATTTTGTATTTATTGCAATAAAGATAATATCTCTAACAATGGCGTGCTGTTCCATTCGGTGGTGTGGGGAAAAACAGCAAAACATCTAATTACAAAACAAACGGAATCAAATTTCATCGGAAATTAAATATGAAATATGTAATTTTGCAATTTTCGTCCATTATAGCAAAGCTCAAGTTAACTGGTCCTTTTGAAGTGAAACAATTGACGACACCCGTCAATTGTTTCGAATTCGGGCTGGCCAATCGGAGCGCAATTGTCACAGTAATGATATGGCAGGATAGTTTTCAAACAAATTAAATGACATTTCGTCTCTATTTCTGGTTATATACTCGATGTTTCAAACAAACCTTCTTTCTTAAATTTTGTATTGAATTGATATTCAACTATTTTTTGTGAACTTACTCCACTAGTTTTGTTATAATTATTAATACAAAGATCAAACACTTCGAAAAAAATTCCTTTGATCCGGCCGGATTCGCCACGGCTAAAAAATCGTTGAAAACCAAATACAAAGATCCGACAAACAAGGACATGGAAAAATTCGTGAGGTCTGCTGGTTCGTTCCGTGGCTAAGTTGGCATAGCATGCCACGGTTTGCTAGAAGACGTCGGTTCGAATCCGGCTGGATCGAAGAATTTTTTTCTAAGTGTTCAATCTTTGTATTAATAATTATAACAAAACATTATTTTTTGTTTTGTTTGAAGAAACAAATATACGCGATTCATAACCGAAAAAAATAGTTTCATTTCCAATAATACAGCTTTTAAATTTATCAATTACCGTGATCCAGCTCCTCGAATTGAACTGCTCATATTTTGAACCTAGTGTATCACACATTGTGTGTTCTAGGAAAACTGCAAATATTCTCTAGGTCTTCTGAATTAGTGATCAAAACAAAAAACAAACAAGACATTTATTTATTAACCATCAGTTCCAGCGTTATAGGTTAAGTCTATGTAAAGGCCAAGGTACCTTGCATCCGTTGGTCTTGTATGATCTGTTGTTGCTGCTGCGTTTGTTGTTGGCGCATTTGCTGTAGTTGCTTCCACTGCCGCTCTTGCTCGGCCTCGCGCGCGCTTCGTTGCTGCCCGCACGTGCGCTCTTGCTCCTATATTGCAACGTTATCTTAATAACGTACTCGTACAAGGGCATTGTTGGTACTTGGATATTGCATAACGGCTTATGTATACTACTTAAACTTTATTGATCAAACACCTTTAATTTGTAAAATTAACTGGTGGAAGACGATAAGGTTGACCTTGGAGCATGTGCACCTAAATAACGCTTATTCACTCTCGCCTTGAAAAGGCCCAAGTTATAATGTATTTCGAAACTATATAGACGTAATCATTAATATTGATATTCAAACGTGAAACACGCAGAGTACGGGTGAGTGTCGGGCGCGTGTCAGGTCGGGTGCACACAACATGGTCTGTTGTCATCCACATAAATACAAGGAATTACACCTGCCGTGCACCCGACCCGACACGCGCCCATCCCATACCCGTCGTCAGTGTGTTTCACGCTTTAAAGTGAACTGCTATAACCAATTAATCGCCTAAGTTATTCAGGAAGCATGTGTGGGTTGAGCGTTGACGTAGTAAAGGGAATGCTTCGATAGTTTGGTCATACTGAAAGTCCGACCACCGATGGTGTATCTGATTAGATATAATTTCAAAAATAGTGTTCTCACATGCCCGCAGGCTGTGTGGATCGTCGCATGCATGGAAGTCCGCGAACGTAGCCAACATCGGAGTTAGAGCAGACGTTGTGGCCGATCGGTAGGGAGCATGATGATATGACATGACATATGAAAGGGATGGATTTTAGAATTTATAGAGCAAATATGGATGACCTCGACTTATGTATCTCGATCAGATTGGGAATCTCCCTAAAAAGACCACACTAAATGCAACAAGAGAATGAGAATGTATGAAGGAACTAATACGAATGGGGGACGCCAAAGAGGCGTGGTCATGGTCTCTGCGTACTCTAGTCGTAACCTAGTAATTTTCTGACATAAACACAAAAAAATGAAACATAAGTTGTTATCCTCTATATAATTGCAAAGTGGTGCCGTGAGCAGAATTTTTCGTCCTTTATTTTTTTTTAATATCCAAGTACCGACAATTGTGCCGGTTTTTAATATCATAGGCATGCTGAAACTACACAGGCATTTTTCAAAGGAAATACTTGATATCTGACTCTATTTGTACAGTAGATTTTTTATTTCTACGTGACGTTTGCCAAATGTTAATTATCTTTAAAAATATTTTGATTAATAATTATAATGACTACATATTATAATTACTTAGGCTATTTCTTTTCCTTGGTCATTTTATGGTGATATTAATGTCTGTTATTGTTCTGCACTGGTACCATGCTCGTGTTATATTTTTCTGTGTATTAATATTTATAAATACCACTAAAAATCTAAGTTAGACATTTCTGTAATAGTTACGCTGATTACTGATATTTACACTGGATTATTTTTATCCTAAATTGAATTAACCTCAGTTTAGTCTTTTTATTTGTTCACAAACTAAAATAAGATGTCACCGTAGCTTAATGTTACTAGTTCCTGAAAACTTACAGCTACCAAATAAAGCTTTGTACAAGAGCGTAATGGCAAATAAACCTTAACTACATAGAACTAAGTGTTAGAACTGTTAGCACACCACACCCAGCGACCGTTGTTAAGCCAACTCTACCAAGGCCAAGCGAAATAAAGAAAACAACTTTACGGAAACGGGACACGGGTCCGGGAGGCGACACGTCGAAACAAGCTAAATCAAAATTAAAGAAAATAAACACACAGCTTACGATGCGGCACAGCCAAAAGTTGTTGGGTGATATCAATTTAGATATTGAGAAAGAGGAGTGCAAAGGACCGCGAGGCGTGACGTCGCGCGATCACCCAACAATGTCGAAACGGGTCTCGCATACACACTCCGCGCACGCAGAAGGCGCGATTAGGGGAGGAGTAAGCCCGCAGGTCCGGCCGAACGGGGCCGGTCGTGTAGCGTCGAGCGGTGGAGGGCGGAAATGCGGGCGTGTGTATGCGAGTGTCGCGATAGGTCGCGGGGGTACCGTGTTGTCGTGCGCGCGCGCTGCGGCCGGTGCGGGGGTCGCGGCGGGTGAGGGGTGGGGGGGCTTGGGGGGCTGCAGGCGCGGCGGCGTGCGCATGATCTCGGAGGGGGTGAGCACGCGGATGTGCGCGTCGGCCTCCAGGAGCCCGCCCGCCGTCACCGTTACGTTGGGCGCGCGCACCCCGCCCGTCACCGCCGCCAGCGCCGGGGTGCTCGTCGCGACGCTCGCGCCCGCCGCGCCGCTGCCGGGGGCTGTGGGGGCCCCGGACGCGCCGGGGGGGGCCGGAGGGGCGGGCGCCGGCGCGGCCACCGCGCTGCCCACCGAGGGCGCGGCCGCGGCCGGCTGGCTGGGCTCCCCTTCGCCGGCAGTCTGTCGCGCCCCAAATTGCTTACACCATGTCGCACGTGAGCGCACTACAGCGTGCCCCTAAGTTCCAGCAGCCGCCTAGCGCTCGGTGTGGAAGCGAAGCGATGCTGTGTTCTCTTGCGTTCCTTACGATCCCGAAGGCTGGCAGTCTCGACGCCTAGTTCCTTACTAATCCTATCTAGTCGGAGCTTTCCGCGTTTGCCTAGCACAATAGCTCTTGCTCACGTAAGACATGGTGTTAATCTTTCTTATATAACTCATCACAAGATCGCTCGAGTACATCTAGCGTTTTTAAAATAACATCCTACTAGCTAATTCTTTGTAACCAATTATGTGTTTATGTTATTTTGAGCCCATTACCGAAGATGCAACAGAACTTTTTAGCTAGACGCATATTGTGTAATGGCTTCAAGCAAACATTTGTACGTGACGTTACACGTACATGTTACAAACAGTGAGAAACAATGTGCAATTACTGGGCAGGATTTCTATTTACAAAAAGAGATATAATCACAAACCGTATTTATTTAGTATGACCTAATAACAAACGCCAATTTCATAGCTTTTGTAAACAAATTGCATTGTATAATAAAGTATCCAGAAAGTTAGCGTTATAATTCTAAAACCTCTACAAACGTAAAAGAAACCCACTACTTCAGAATTCAATATGAGAAGTAAAACAATAACAGTATGGCAAGGAACAAAACATGGTAGACGGAAGGGATCGATATAAAGTGGCTGGCTACAGCCGGAGTGAACACACAACACGGTGTGAGTGAGTTGGGTTAGCACACACCAAGCTCTGTCAATTTATAAGCTTATTTCGTGTAATTTAGGGTTATTTTTTTATTGAGCCAATGCCTAACAATCGTCTTCATGTTTTCGATAACTCTAAATTAGCTATTTGCTGTTTCAGCATTTATAAATGAATTGTGGTAAAGGTTGTGACTTTTGATACACAAGGAAACTTTATACTCCGCCAAAAGGAGCTCGCCATTATGGGTATTAATAAACCAATCTAAAATATTATTTAAATTTTGTTTTGAGTGTTTTCTACTCCTCACTAAACAATCCACACAGCACTTCCCCAAAAAAGCCTACATCTATATGATTTAAATACAGCAAATGTCGTGAAGTTTAGGGGTTTTACATGGGAATTTCGATGGGAGTGATGAGGGAACGAATAAACGTAAGAATAGTGGGAGGAAGAGGGAATCCGAGAAAGATTCAAAAGTTTCAAAGTAAGTGGCCAGAAACCAGTAAAGAGGGTGATAAAAAGGTGGAATGACCATGACGGAAAAGCATTTCTTTTTGCTCGTATCCAGTTTGTAAGTAAGTTTATTATATCACGGTCACAAAATTTCACTTAAAAGTCCATATTACCTTAGCCCGAACTGAAATGTTTACCGTAATATTAAGGTTCATTTTGCTTTTTGGACGAGCAACACACTGGCTTTACTTCAGAATTTATATTTTTACAAACGAATTTAAGGCCATTTGTCGTATTCGTCTTCTATTTAGTTCAGTTGATATTAAAAAAAAACTTTTTTTTCTAAAATTTATGTATTGTTAAAATTTTTATTTTACAACATATCGCACCCTTAGTAATATAAGGGCACAATCCAAAAAAAGTAGATTTTTGGGAAATCGCGTATTAAGATTCTGGATTCCTACATTACACCTATTTTTTCAAATAACATGCTTATTATTTAAGTTATAAATATGAAATTTGGCAGATTTGTTCTTTGATAAATGTGTTATAAATAGCAATAAAAAAAAATAATATAAATAAATTCTATAAGTTTCAAGCAAGTTAAAAAAACACTTTCAAGTTAGACCCATATAGTACAAAAAATATAACAGAAATATGGAGCTATTTAAGTTTGATCCCATTTATTATTTAAGTCCCTATCAATTCCCAAATTTCCCAAAAATCTACTTTTTTTGGATTGTGCCCTTATACTAAGGGTGCGATATGGTAATCAGTGCATATCCTCAATTTTACTATATATTTTTTCCAAAGTGATTTATTCAACAATTTCACAGGTATGCGGAATCAACAAAAGCTATTTGAGGCTTTGAGGTTGCATAGACTCTTAAGTCCAAATGAATTAAGTAAAGGGTCTTGGTCATATGAGATGGTATCACATATTACAATACAGGAGAGTTTGAGACGTATTTCGAGATCTGAATGGCAACTCAGCCGTTACGCTCTTAATACCGGATGTACGGTATACGAACGCACATTTTAGTTTCGTTTACTTTGCGTCCTACTTTACGCGGCCGTTTGTTTACCTGTACACATAAGTAGGCTATTAATTTAGTGTTTAACGAACATTCAGTAAATTTAGCATTTAACATCGTGACAACAATGTAAGAGATATACAACCTCATCTAGCATATATTCTTACCAATACACTATCAATACTATAGCGTAGTATTGGTCCCTACAGCGGACTTAGGAGTTGTTCATTTATACGGGTTTTAGTCACTTTTACATTTTTTTTAAACTCGTCACAACTACGCAAGACACCCTTATAAGTTGACAGACCTTGTGGACACACAACGTTTAAATACTCGGCTACATACCTGCTGGGCTTTCTTCATCCTAATCGCGCTTCTGTTGTCCCTAGCGCGTTGTAAATAAGGAGCTTTTTGCTCAGCAGGCAGAGCTCGCCACTTCTTGAGAATTTGCTTACAACGATCCACCCAGTTAGGGAATTCCGTTTTCCATTCCTGGTGGTTCGTGTTGGCATAGAGAACAGCTGATATTGTTGCTGCCGGGCCCAGACCTAAACATGTGAAGGCAGGTTTTTGTAATGAACAGGTGTCCAAGGAGCTAACAATAATAACGCACACTCTCAACATAGCCCCGCATTATGGAAACCCTGTGTCGTGGGTGCCATGGACACACACGTAGACAATCACAAATTACACCCAAACTCACGAGAGAAATAAATGTAGGCCACACAAATATTTCTCCCGGCCCGGGAATCGAATCTGGGACCTCTGCGTGGCTGTCCAGCATGGTAACCGTTAGCGACAGAGGCAGTTAATATACTAAGCAGAGTAAACGTTCCAGTGTGATTTGCTGTGAAATAAAGACATTAACATCTTATCGGATTTGGCGAATTATAGACACAATCGACTTGTGCTGCCGGTCAATAGTCTCTGCCTACCCCATTGGGAGACAGGCGAATATTGTAATTTGCTTAAACGATATCAAGATATTTTGAATTAGGTTTACTGCGATCGCCAACCCGCCTTCCAGGCATGGCGATGAGTACTCACTCTCGTCGGCGCGCATCTTGTCCGCGCTGCGCTGGTTGTAGGAGGGCGCAGGTGTCGCCGCGTCGCTGGCCCACGTGCCGCCGGAGCCGCCCTCCGAGAACAGCGGGCTCATCGCACTGTTGCTGCTACGAAAACAACAGGGGTAACCATCGAGTATATAACCAGAAATAGAGACGAAATAAGGGCCATCCATCCATGGCAACTGAACAGGCGTATGGGCCTTATATAACTTTTAAATATCAACTCTCGTTTGCGCTGAAATCACAAATTAGAAAGCTGAAATAGTACAGCGCCAACAACTGACCTGTGTGTACGTCTCCGTATATTTCAAAAATATTCTGTATTTATTGTAATAAAGATAATATCTCTAACTATGGGGGGCTGTTCCATTCGGTCATGTGGGAAAAATAGCAAAACTTCTAATTATAAAACAAACGGAATCAAATTTCATCGGTACTTAAGTATTAAATAAGCAATTGTTCAATTTTCGTCAATTATAGCAAAGCTCAAGTTAAACTGGTCGATTTGAAGTGAAACAATTGACGACACCCGTCAATTGTTTCGAATTCGGGCTGGCCAATCGGAGCGCAGTTGTTACCGTAATGATATGTCAGAATAGTTTTTAAACAAATTAAATGGCGATTACTGGTTATATACTCAATGGGAGTAACTAAGGGTTATTGTGAACTTTGAAGTTCGTACCTTATTTTAAAACACTTTTTTCTTGTACTTCAAAGTTACTAGTTTAGATTTATATACTTTAGTAGCAGTAGGTTATTATTGACACAAAGATCGAACAAATACAAATAAAAATTTCTTCGATGCGGCTGGTTTCGAACCAGCGCCTTTTTTACCTGACCGGGGCTATCGCTCATTCAACTATTGCAGATCTTTCTTTTTTGTTTTAACGTCTTTTTGCCAACCTATGAAAGTTTTTCCTTCACCAGGGTCTAACAAGAGATGTCGCCCTATTAATTACAATATTGATTTTATTGAATATCATCATTGACTTAAAATTATATGGACGTCGGGTCCGCGCTAAAAAGTGTCCGAACTTATAGGGCGTTAAAATCGTATACAGAGCGTCATTCACGCTTTAGTCTTCGTTTGTTCCACTGACAGCGAAGCAAGCAAAATTGGACAGTACTGCGATGACATCACAATTTAAATTCAACGTTTTAGCTTTTTCATATTCCTTTACATGTCACTACGTTTAAATAGGTTGACTTGGGACATTTTTTCGTGGTTTTGGTATTAGGCCAGTCGTCCATTTATTTGTAAGTCAATGAATATCATGATTTTTTACTATCACGATATTCATGTTTTTAGTAAAATTACTCCACTAGTGTGGTGGTTGTTATTACTGATACAAAGATCAGTAATAACAATCAACAAATCAACCACAAAGCAGTACAGCAGAGGAGTTCTTTGTGAAAGTGTTCGTCCATCATAACAATTTCTGCCGTCAAGCAGTAATCTCAGCATTACTGCGTTCCAATTTTCAAGGTTCAGGCTGCTTTTGAAAATACAGAATGTGTCAGGATGACGGGCGCCGTCGCAGTGCCCCTCAGGTTGCGTACGATCAGACGCACGACTTATGCGTCCCGTTACTGGATACCATAAAAAAAACAAACCTGCTTCCAAATTCAGGGTGATAAGGCGAGGGGTAGTCAACGCCCATCTGCGGGCTCTGTAGCGGCTGCCGCTGCGGGTACGGCGTGCCGCCCAGGGAGTTCACGTACGATACTGAAGACTCTTGGGACTCCTGGTAACAATACAGTAATAATAATAATAAAATCGTTTATTTATCTCCACACATAAATAGGTAAAAATAAATATAAAGCTCTACACAGTGTTTAGTAACAATAGGCGGAGTGAGATAAAAAAGTCTAGCTCAGCACAATGGCGGAGTGTATCACAACGCCGCTGATATTCTGCTACAGCCTGACATGTTCATAAAAAAAAACTAACACTTATTATCATTTCTTACGGAAAGTACGTAATGACAAAATATGACAGTCTCGCACAGGCGGGGGAAGATCATTCCTCACCTTGGAAACAGTAACATTATATCTACCAGCAATGATTCAATAGGATAATTTTGAAGCCTTGAATTTTTAAATGTTTATATTTTTTTTTTGTTTTATTTGTTTATATTTTACGTTTTATGTACACGGGACTTTGTGGGGGTAAGGATTAATTCCTTATAAGTAACATCGAGTATTTAACCAGAAATAGAGACGAAATATCATTTTATTTGTTTGAAAACTATTCTGCCATATCATTACTGTGACAACTGCGATCCGATGGGCCAGCCCGAATTCGAAACAATTGACAGGTGTCGTCAATTGTTTCACTTCAAATCGACCAGTTAACTTGAGCATTGCTATAATGGACGAAAATTGCAATATTACATTATTAAATATTTAATTACCGATGAAATTTGATTCCGTTTGTTTTGTAGTTAGACGTTTCGCTGTTTTTCCCCACACCATCGAATGGAACAGCACGCCATTGTTAGAGATATTATCTTTATTACAATAAGTACAGAATATTTTTGGAATATACGGAGACGTACACACAGGTCAGTTGTTGGCGCTGTCTATATTTCAGAGCAAACGAGAGTTGATATTTATAAGTGATGTATCACTGATGAATTACCAGGACTGTATGGCCCTTATTTCGTCTCTATTTCTGGTTATATACTCGATGCATAGTAATCATAATTTAAAGGAACACCATGAAATTTTACAGTTTAAGTTTAGGAAATCGTCAAGTGGAGACGTACCTGCGAGTCATCAGTAAGCACGCCCTTGAATATTTCATCGACATCATTGCTATCCATGTCAGGCAGTGAATCGCGCACCATCGCGTCCAGATTCACACCCAGTATAGACAAGTCGTCCTTGGGTGATATTGTAGATGCTTGCGACGACCCGCCGGTTTCTGTAACAATCGTGTCATCTCACCGTCATCATTATAAATCCATTATTATTTGTCTAGTACGCTACGTTCCATTTTTTCTCCGTTTTCCGTAGATCATTTCTATTTTTTTTTACAACATCATCAACTTCAAATGTGTCGACAGCTGACACAGTGTTAGTGAGAAATTTTATTAAAAAAAAAAACAAATTGATGTTTAATTAACATGTGAAGAGACCAGGGAAAGAATGATCAAAGTCAATTAAAGAACGTTTTGAGTTAATACCGCCATCCAGTTCAGTACACGCTGAGCGTATTTTGCCTAAATCAGAAAAAAGCTAACAAGGTTCAATGTCCTGAAAAATTAGCTTTTACCTTTAGTCATAAAAATGCTTGCGATTAAATGGTTTAGAATGAATTATATTTTTTGATTTTTTATGAAATGTTTTTGGTTAAAATGGATTACATAGCGTTACATACATTTATGTCAGAAATTACTTTATTTCAAGCAGTATTTGTGCGCGTGTTTTTCACCAATATTCAAAAGTTCTCCAAATTAAAAATTATTTTTCCTAACATTCCCCTCAAGTGACTTTGATAATTCTTTTCCTGGACTCTTCGTGTATCTAACCTAATTTATTGTTTTGTTGTGGAACGTGTAAGTACTTCATAGGTAATTTCAATTTATGTGTCTATAATGACAAAGTATTATGTATATTATACAGATGCTAATCTGTACAAGATGGACTATTCAATTTATGAAAAGCCAAAATGTTGGTCACGGCCTACCTAAATGGATAATTACTCTAAATCTGGATTGGACTGAATGCAATATAAAGACCACTCACCACTACTAATAGTCTCGGTCTTAGTACTATGAACATTAGGCATGTTATCGCTTGCAGCCTGTTCCTCCGGCTGTGGTCCCAAAATAGCATTCTTGAGCGCCGTCGAGTCTTCTGTATGTTTCAGTTGTCCGTCTTCTGATTCCGTTTTAATTTTTGGAGTTCCATCGGGGTTCGTACCATCCTCTTTTTCTTCCTTTGGTTTTAGTGAATGGAGGAGGTCTACTTCGTCCTGTAGAAGAATTGTGCATTGTTGTAAGATACCACAATCTCTGATTTGTTATATATGTATATAACAAATCAGAGAAAAAATAAAATTAATATAAATTAGATTTTGATAATATAAAATGTAACAAAAGACAGCATGTAGCATATCGAACGAAAAACCCGCATTAATCTCGTATTTAAAAATAAACTCGTCCCGTACAGAGTACGGATGTACAGTGAACGGGAGAGATAGAGCAGAAGTGAGATGTGATGTAGGAGAAGAATGGAAGGGAATCAGATAGACAGAAAGAAAAACCAACGAGAAGGTGTCAAGAATAGTGCAGGAAAAGAGAAGCTTATTAAAGACACCTGAATCGACACATTTATCTCAGAAGCATTATAGAAAGGCAGATCGACGGAAGAGAGGCAGGGGAAAACCTAGACGAACATATTTTTATATAAGGCTAGACTCTTTAGCTCTTAAACAAAGAAGAAGATAGAGTATGGAGTGCGGATTTCGTAGCGCGTACTAGACAATAATGTAATTAATGTAGTGTCTCGTTGTTTGAAAGAAAGAAAATACATTATTTTACAAATGACACCACAAAAGAACGAAAACAACATAATCAAAACATACAAACAAAATAAAATAATTACAAAACAAAATCACTAATTAAAAGAAAAAATAAAATTAACAAAACACAAACTATTCACACAAATAACGCCACTAAGTATAAAGATACTTTGAGTGGTGTCAGCTGCAGTAACAAATGGGTCACTAATTTAGTATTTGCTGGAAAATGCAATGCGTTGGACGATATACCTGTGAAATTGTAATTGGGATAATGTCAATACTTACAGAATTGAGTGTGATATACACGGAGGTGTCAAGGTCGGTAAAGACAGAGAGAGCGCACATGACGTCCTCACCGTCGCTGTCCGAGTTCTCCAGCTCCAATTTGAAGTCCCGCAGTTCGCGATAGCCTTCAGGCGTACCTGGACGCACTGAGCCTCCAGGACTCTCTGATGGGTTCCCTGCATAGAGATCTTTAATCTTTGGATTTCCACGTACAGTGAGTATCAGGGCAACGAAATTACACTACCCAGAACCTCCATATCAGAACCAATTAAGAAAAGTTCATTTCCCAAATTGGTCTTTTTGGGAATCGAACCCGGGGTCTTATCCAACGTCCACAGTGCAAACCGTTAAGCCACCGAGACCGTCTTTATAATTTATATTATTTCGTTTTCGTGACACACGCCTGTCACTCATTAAGCGTGAAGGTCCATTGAGACCCAGCGTCAAAGCCTAGTCTGTAGTTTTAGCTGTGCACGACTTGTTTTTATTTATTCTTTCTTTTTGTGCATTTTTGTGTTGTTGCAACAAATGCTTCCTAATTATTAGAGAAAAACCAAAGATTCATAGTTTAGCTCTTGCAGGTATTGTACCATATTTCAAATAAATATTGTTAATGATAAATGTATGCAACCCCTAGAGTTTCTTGCTAATTCTTCTCAAGAGAATCTGACTTACGAATAAGTAGCAGGTTTAATGAATGCGACGATTTCAAGTGTAATTTGCTTACCTCAAATTACACTTGAAATCGTAATCGTAAAAAAAAATAAAAAACCAAACTCAAAGATAACGATTTTTTGAGTTTGAGTTTGAAGTGTAGTCTGAAAACCAAACGGTATTTGACTTACCAGTAGAACTAACAGAAGGTTTGGCAGGTTCCAGTAACTCTTTCCCAAAGAAGGCTTCTTGCATATATGAGGGAAACTGCTCCATAAGTTTAGAGCGCGGCTTGCGACGAGGCTTGCGTTTATTACTCGGAGATTCTGTAATGTAACACAACACGTCATAGCCATATGTTGTGGATATTCCCACGGTTCGCACGAAGCGTTCCGCTTCCACATTTATACGGCGAGCGGCTAGGCAGTGGATTTCCATGCCCATGGACTTATTCCCCGAACGCTATAACTTGGATCTTTTTAAGGCGAAAGTGAATAGGCATTATTTAGGAGTGCATGCTACATCATCGACTTCGACGTCACTTTCCATCAGGTGAGATGAAGGTCAAATGCGCACTTACTTTTTGTTTAAAAAAAACAACGAAACTGCAGGTCGATTCAGAAGCTTACGATAACTCTGTTGTCGACCGATTCGATTAGATTGCTTACGATTTCTTTTAATTTATAATCACAATAACCGAACGTCAAGCTGTCGTATTCGAAACCGAACCGAAATGACATCACACCCGTACGATCACTCGTACTTCTCAACGGGCAAAGGCTACAAACGTTATTCAGAACAAAGTTATCGAATGAAAGTAACCGAACGTCCTATTGTTTACAAAGCGAGAATGTAATATTATGAAAATCTTTTATTATTTTAAATAAAATCTGGATTTTGTTCAATTTTATTAATTTATTTTAATGCGACACTAACGCATTTCTATATTTTAAACCTTTAAAGTCTTAAAAATATATATAAAAGGATTTCATTTTTCTTATAATCTATATTCGCCGACTAATTCCATAAACGTTGTTAGATAACGATATCAGGGGGTCTACTGTCGATCTCCGTCCGACATCCGTCCGAAACAATTACTGCCAAGTAAGCAATACTTGACCAAATGAAAAGACGCGTGATGCGAATGAAACTTCACTCTTGATACTTGTCTTTTAATTTTATCGAATATTACTTATTTGACAGTAATTGTTTCGGACAGAGATCCGGAGTAGACCCCCTGAATCGAACGTTTTAACTCGAATGTTCTGAATAGTTCGGAAAGCGCCCTTCGATTCGAGAACTATATCCAATCGAACGATTCGATTAAGGTATCGAAGAGTTCCGAATCGGGATCCTGATGTCTGGAAGAGCTTTACAAAGACTTACATCCTTCGGCCTTGAGTACTTACTCGTTTAGAAAACAATAAAAGTATGTGTTTTCCTTCAGCATGCCATACGCGATCGGTGTAACGTGGCTAATTTACGTAGTCACGTATATTGATCGAGATACCGGTAGTATGTCGACATATATACAGGGTCATTTGTAAAATACTTTTAACTAAGTTGTCAAAATTCATCATGGAAATATAAATAAATCAGTCACATAGAGCACAAATTTACGGTATCATAATGAAAAATCTTGAATAGTGTGCTGCTGTAAATAAAAGCCGAATGTGTGTACAGTAATCAAAATTTTAATACATTTTTATTGAATTGATATTCAATTCTTTTTATGTGAAATTACTCCACTAGTTTGTTATAATTATTAATACAAAGATCGAGCACTCAGAAAAAATTCCTTCGATCCGGCCGGATTCGAACCGACGTCTTCTAGCATACCGTGCCGGACGCTATACCAACTAAGTCACGTAACGAACCAGCGGACCTTACGAATTTTTCTATGTGCTTGCGTCGTATCTTCACCATGTATGAGAAATCTACGACATTTCGTCACCCAGTTAGATATCTTTACAGCTACCAGCCCCGGCTAGAGATGTCGCTATTCATTGTATTTAAATTTTTGTTGAATTGATATTCAATTATTTTTATGTGAAATTACTCCACTAATTAAGATTTTATTATAGAAATCCGAATAGGTTTTATCAAAGAAACTTGACCGATTTCTGATATTGTATTGTTCTTACCTCCCGAAGCCTGCGTGCCGTCGCCATCTTTCTCATCATCTGCCTGCGCTTTAATGGTGGTCTGTCTTTGTCGCACAACGAATCCTCCAATGCCCAACTTGTTCAAGTTCCTCTGTCTTTTTCGTCGCAGCACTGTAAGGCCGGACTCTGTAGTGTAAATGGTGAAACCCTCTGGGACAGGGCCGTCGTTCGCTACGTTCCATAGTACGCCTTCTTTTAGATTTGTATTTGCTGAACCTAGTGAGAAGTGAATTATCTAATTGTAGTGTGTTTTTCATTCCTCATTTATATTCGTCCTAGTGTATTGCTATTAACAATGTGCAAAATCTACTTTTGAGAGTGCATCATTCAACTTGTTTCAATGTTTATTTGACTCGGAGCTTTTTATTTTAGAAAAAATGTTATGATACAAAAACAGAGATATTTTCATATAAAGCCTTAATTAAAAACATTCATTGTTTAACCTTAATTTGCAAATTTAACTGTTTATATATCTATGCTTGTGAGTAAAATTGAACCATCACTGGTTTTACTTCACGGCATAAACCAAAAACGATCAGCTGGTTATTTCTTGGTAGAAACCAGAAATAATCAGCTGGTTATTTCTTGATAAAAACTAGAAAAAACCTCCTAGTCATTTTTTGGTAGAAACCAGAAATAATCAGCTGGATATTTCTTGATAGAAACTAGAAAAAACCTAGTCATTTTTTGATAGAAACCAGAAATAATCAGCTAGTTATTTCTTGGTAGAAACCAGAAATAATCAGCTGGTTATTTCTTGATAGAAACTAGAAAA